AGGAACGATTGGCCATCGGTGATCGGTCCTGTGGGAACAATGCTCCCTCCTCTCGAGGACGCGTGGTCAATGGTCTAACCGCTAAGGCATGCAAAACATAAGAAAACGCCCCCCGCCCTCACCCCCCGCCGCTCGTTCTCTTTGTCTTGTCTTGCCGGGTCTCCTCGACGGGGAACGCTCCTTGCAACACGCATGTGCCTACTGAAGAATTGGATCAGCTGATTCAACTCAGGGCAATTTTGTAACCTCAATCAATATCCCCCCCTCCAATCGTTTCGTTTTATGCTTTCAGGTTTCGGCGATCGAGTCCCTCCTGGTGGCTGCCGGGGTGTCGGAGGTTATTGGCTGGATCGGCGACGAGGTGGATGCCGATACCACTGAGGAGGATATCAACACCAAGGTGTGTGTGAGTGACATGTCCAGGCATAGATTTTCCACTCAAAAGCTATGTGTTACACATTCGAGCCCATGTATTCTCTAGGATCGATGTTGCGTTTTGAGTATACGCTTTGCCGTTCAACCATTTGCACGGGAGTATTCGGACGCGGCGATTGACCCTTCGGTTGCCTCTTGCTGAACCTCTGCTCTTCCCTCACCATGCTGTCGCTCTGTGTGGAAGTGACATGAGGTACGCGCGAGCGCGGCTTGAAGTTCACCGACGTTCACTCGAGTAGCCAGTTTTGTTTGCCGTGTCCCATGTTCGTCTTCAACTGACCATCATTGCTGCAGCACCCTCTTCCTCGTGCGTGTCGGTCGGTGTTCGCAGCACCCTCTTGGTTGCAAAGCATCTGACCTTTAAAAGACACAATGCGATTGCACTGCTGTGCGTTCGCGCGCACTGTTACGGCAGTCTGCCCGGGCCCACCCACACTTGCTTTACCCTTCCATTCCATGAAACTGTCTCCTCCACTCCCCTTCCTTGATGTGTCCCCCAAGCCTCTACTACAATGCGTCTCCCTTTACTCACGAACAAGTTTTCCGAAGTTGTCTTCTTTGCCACGCATGGACCATCACCATTCATTCAAGGTGCAAGTCACCCTGGCCTTCACCCTTTGCGTGGGCTTCTGGCAAATGATCATGCGGATCTTCGGAGTTGGAGCCATCGCCACGTTTCTGTCCGACCCGGTCCTGTCCGGGTTCTCCACCGCATCCGCGTTTTTGATCGGAACCTCGCAGCTCAAGCACCTCGTAGGGTACGAGTTACCCAAGGCCATACTCCCTGTCATCTGGTGAGCATGGGCGGACGTCCACATTTTATTTGTTATTTCTGTTCATGACGTGGCATCATCTGCCATTTCTCATCTATCACACCAGTCATGTCGGGTGCAGGAACTCTACAATACAATACACAATCGAACAAAAAATAGCAACACGTGCATATGGACCGCCACTCGCCATGCCATACATTGATTTGCGGACATGCATACCAGGTACTGTAGCCTCCAGACGTACGGCGGTTCAGCCGCAACTATGAATCCAAACTAGAACTGGTCTCCCCTTGCCCGCAACGTAGGAAATGGCTTTCCTTCCCTGTTGAACTCCAGCGTGAGACGTACTCCTTTCTTTCTTTGGCCTTCGGTGCCAGGTACGAAGCCGTCACGAACGTGCCGAAGTTCAACATCGCCTCCGTTTGCGTGGGGGTCAGCGGGATTCTGCTGTTGATGATTTTCAAGAAGCTCAACAGCCGGTACCTGCCCCATTTGCCGCTACCGTCTCAGGTGAGTAGTAGCTGTTGATGTTGCTGCGGTTATTGCTGTTGCTCTTGCTGCGGTCAAAGTGAACATTTATTTTTCGCTCACTGGCGCCTGCTACTGCTCTAACCAACGAGCCTTCTTTGTTTCTTATTATGTTTCTTAGCTTTCGTCTCAAGCTCGTCTGCTCTATTTCTTTCTTGTGTGGCTCTCTCGCTGCTGTCGATATAGTTGTTTTCGTCCCTCTTGTTTTTCGAATTTCTCTCTCTTACCCCCCCCCCCCCCCCCCCCCCCCCCCCCCCCCCCCCCCCCCCCCCCCCCCCCCCCCCCCCCCCC